AAGAGCTTACTTGATAGGACATCTCCGCCCTATGCCTACGTATTCCCTCGTGCAATGGGAAAGTCAGAGTCAACATAGTTTGGGAAACTACGGGGGGAGGTTGCTCGCCAAGACATCGCCGTCTTGTGCCTATGTATTCTCATCTAGTATGAGAAATCATAGCAAAACGTAGTTCAGGCTAACTACAGGTAAACAGGGTGTTCTCGATCGCACGGGGAGCAAGTGAAAAGGTAGACGATGCTAGCGCACACATTCTAGAAGTTAGGTGTATTGATGCTCGACAATTGGAGACTTAGGCGTTACCTGTTTGCGGTAGAACTGACGTATCATGTCCACAGGTTAAAAGGTACGGGGAACTTAAATGGGGGAAAGGAGGAAAAGTGCTCGCTAGGATTATCGCAATCCTATGCCTACGCACTCTCAACAGATATGAGAGATCAAAGCAGTCGTAGTTCAGCCAACTACAGGAAAGCGGGAAAAGTGCTCGCTAGGATTATCATAATCTTATGCCTACGTACTCTCAACAGATATGAGAGATCAGAGCAACCGTAGTTCGGCTAACTACGGAAAACGGTCTCGATCGCACTAGGGCAAAAGAAAATCAGTCTCAATCGCAAGGATGCGAGAGAAAGGGATCTCAATCGCAAGGAGGCGAGAGAAAAGGGGATCCTAGGCCTGAAGCGCCTAAACGGAAGGGAATCGGAAAAGTGCTCGCTAGGATTATTGCAATCCTATGCCTACGTACCCTCAATAGATATGAGAGATCAGAGCAGCCGTAGTTCGGCTAACTACGGAGAAACTGGGAGTTCTCAATCGCACGGATGCAAGAGAAAAGGAATCTCAAACGCAAGGATGCTAGAGAAAAGGTTCGGAATGGGACGCACACGCTAAATCCTAAAACGTAGGAGCAAATGCATCGCATATTTCCCAAAGGGCATACACTAAACACTCTAGACGAGAGAGAGGTGGCCCCCCACTCATCATTTCCCACGTATCTATCGCTTACTCACAACGCTCGGCCATTGAATAAAAAATGAAATTAAAACAATGTTACCGAACGGAGTGGTTCCGTTGACCCTTGACTTTTCGTGCAAGCTCCATTTCCAAGCTTCTCCTCTTTGATCCTTGATGATGATGCTTTGAAATCGAATTAGGACCAATGTGACGCTAAACCGTCGTAGCTCGACTTATGAATGGAAGTCAAGCTATGGGAGGTCGCGTATTGATATTCGTGCTATGGACAACATAGAGAAATGATATTGAGAATCATTCTCTAATTGAATCGTGTCGCACGGACCAAAAGAAGTGGGATCTCGTCTTACGGATACAAGACTTCATCGATCCAAGAAAAAGTCAAAATAAAATCGGAAAGAAGAAGAAAATGAGGAGAGAAAAGAGGTGGTCTCGGATCGAACATTATTCATCAATAATTTGACTGGTAATGGATTGCGGAGGTCTCGTCATCGACCAAAAACGATGAAAAATGAACAAAGATGGATAAACGGTCAAAAAATGAAAACGAGAAGAGAAAAGTGGTCTCGGTATTGTCATTTCCATCAATAATTTGACGTATAATAACTTGGAGATCTCGTCATCGACCAATAAATGGAACAAAATGTCCAATAATAAATGAGAAATAAAATCCAACTTCTAAAAGAAAATAAATCAAAATTCTAAAACAACTTGAAATAAAACTCTATATAGATATATAAACTCTAAAAGAAACTAAAAGAAATATAATATACAATAAAATATGTAAATCAAAATCCTAAAAGAAAACTATAAAAATAAGTTTATATACCAACTAGAAATTGTTAAGAAAAATAATATATATAATATGAATAAAATATATTTACAAAAATGAAGATTAAAACAAAACCATATGAACATAATTAGTATATACATAATTAATAATAATGTAAATATAAATTACATAGTAATTAATATAAAAAGTTAAGAAAACAGGGGGAGGGTTATGTAATGAAATGGGGGGTTACAGTCCAAGAGATGGGTCGTGAGGCCCACTCAAACCATAGCAAAAAGTAAATAGAGAGAGGGGGTACAAAACTTTAAAACGGGATGGTGGTGCAGACAAAAAAAAATCAGGCTTTAAGCCTAAATTCCAACAATTTTGTTAAACAAACATCAACAAAAAAAACTAACAGTCCAACAAACAAGAACCCAAAGCACAAATCAAGAGTCAGTCACTCCCAACCTTCCTTCCCACTATTGACAGCTCACGCATCGGTGTCCTTCACGTTGAAAATACATCCATGATCTCATCTTCTCTCTCGCGACGATGACAACAAAAAAAGAAGAGGGCTGATTATTTGTTAATGGTGGTTTCAAATGATGAACAGGGGCTTGTGATGTTGGTTCGTGATTGGGATTAAAGGGTTTGCACGGTTTATGATTCAAAGAAGAAGGGTTGATGGGTTTACGAAGTTTGTGTTGTTCGAAGGAGGTTTGAATGGGTTTTGTTCTTCTGGGTAGTGATTTGTAAAAGGTTTGAAAAAAAGGTTTTGGATGAAGAACAGAGGTGGACTTCTGGGTGGTTGGTTGTTTTGTTTGAAGATGGCGGATTCTTGCGGATGGGTTTGATGATGTTCGTAGGAGAGAGATGAAGTTGAAAGTGTAATGAGTAGCTGGGTTTCATGTGGTAGTTGTCGCACCTCGAAAAATTCATTCGAACATACGACCCTCGCGCGAAAGGCGCGGAAATGCGGTTCGACAGAGTCGCCACCGAACTTTATTTTTCCCGAACAAACGGGAGAGGAAAATATCGAGAAAACCTCTTAAAGACAAAAGGATAGGAACAGGGTTGTCGTAACCAAGTTCCGGGTTCGGGAGTCGGTTATGCGAGGGGAAGGTATTAGCACCCCTCACGTCCGTCATACTCGACGGGAACCTCTTAAGGTAATTGTGGGGAGTGTTGTTCAGGTTTACTTGTTTTCTTCTCGTTATCAAAGGTTGAATTGGTAGGGTAAAAGGTTAAAGACGCAAAGGAGAGATGGATGGATAGAAGATAGGGTGCTCGCCAAGGATTGGGGCCCTTGTGCCTACGTATGCTCATTCGGACGAGAATGAGAAATCAGAGCGTCGTAGTTTGACTACGGGAAAAGATGGGGGGAAATGGGAGATGGATAGAAGGTAGCTCGCCAATATCATCGCAATCTTGTGCCTACGTATCTTACATTCAGATGAGAATGAAGAATCAGAGCAGTCGTAGTTCGTGGAGACGACCACGAAAAAATGAGGTTTGAAAAGGGTTGAAGTTTGAGTTTGAGACGAAAGGGTGACTGACAAGCAACCCAAGAGCGCGTCTCAAAAGCTTGTCACTCAAGAATTCAAGGAATGCGAGACTCCAAGAACTCAATTCTTTCGGGAATTGACTGAATAAGTTGAAGATAAAGATTTGGATGTTTTGAAATCGAAAGAATAAATTAATAACAACTCGAGGGCGCGCCTCGAGAGTTACTCATTCGAATATCCAAAGAATGCTAGATTCTGAAAATATCCCTCTTTCGTAAGTTTCGGAAATGTTTGTGAAAGGATCGAATCGAAGAATGGCATGCGAGGCCAAAAGAAGTTGTTTTGAACAGGTTCGACGACGTGTCGATGATTTGATTGAAGATGGAACCGACTTGACGACGTGTCAAGGGTTAGGATGGTGAGAAACGATATTAGTCCCTGAGGGTGCTCCTAATATCGAGACCACGAGGAATTGTGAAAGAAATGGGTTGCGAATGCGGACAAGCATTCGACTTAGGAGAATGTTTGAAAAAGTCGAAAGGTTGAGTGGATAACAACTCAAAGGCGTGCCTCAAGAATTATTCACTCGAAGACACAAAGAATGCTAGACTCCAAGTATCTCCTTCTTTCGAAGTTTGATCGAGAAAAAATTTTAAAAATAATTTGAAGCGAAATGGGGTATGAAAATAATTTGTGAACGTGTGAGAAGTGAGAACGCGAGATTGAGTTTGAAAATATCGATTATTTAACAGACGTCGGCCCCACAACTAAATAATCGGGGTATTACCGAAATGCTAGATTCCAATAACACCATTTTTATTTGAAAAATATTTGGATGAACAGCGGAAATATCACACAGAATGTTAGATTCTTATGATGTTTTTTGTTCTAAATTGCGTACTAAACGAATAGTTGAATGACATATTATTTAAGGTGTACACCCCAATAATGTTTGTCCAAAAATTCAAGAAGTGCTAGACTTCAAGAATTTAATTTTTTCATGACTTGATTGAGAAATAATTTAGTGTTGAAAAATATACTGAAACAGGATTTAAAGAAAATCAAACACATTTTAGAAATAAGCTGAAAAAATAAATTATAAGTTAAAGTAAATTGATTTAAATTTAGCAAAAAATAAATTAATCAAAATTAAAAGTAAATTTGAAAAAACTAAAGTGTAATTTATTGAATTGTCTAGAACATGCTATTTACTCAAGCATATACAAATACAAAAATTAAATTGCCTAATTAATTATATAAAAAAATGAACAAAACATTATTTAAGGTGTACACCTTAATAATGTTCATTCGAAAACTCGAGAAGTGCCAGACTCCAAGAGTTTAATTTTTTCTAATTGATTTAAGAAAATAGTTTGAATGTTGAAAATAAATTGAATTTAAGATTAAGAAAAATGATTAACCAAATGTTGGAAATAAGTTTGAAAATAGTCTAAGGTTTTTTAAAAAAAAATATTTTGAATATGTATTAAAACAAACCATTTACCAAAAGTGACTTTAAATCCATGAAATGAACATTTATCTCTCCTCTCTATAAACCTCAATGATCCAAAACATGAAACAGATTTCTATTCGGCAGAATATAAATAGAGTCTACATCTATCTTGAACTGCATCCTCAAACAAAATCCCACTATTCACAAGGATAACCAACAATTGTTCTGTTCCTTCAATATGAACTTGTTCCTGCGAATGCTTCTTGTATTAACACAGGATCCGGAATCCAAGTTTTCACACTAGATACGGCTTTCTGAAAATAATACAGAAATTTTTTACATTGCTCTTTTTCAAATACCCCCTTGTAAGTAGCTCCCACGTCGTGTAAGAAAGACGGACACCCTTTTCCACTAACTGATTACAAAAATTTGCAACCATTTCCATCTGGCCTTGGCCAACATATGAAGTAAGAAGCAAGTTTGAAACTCTAACAACATTGGTACCAGAAACAGATTCCCACTCCCTATAGAGATTCTCAACTCCAGTAAAGTTTCCAAGATTCACTAGTGATGATATCATGCAAATGTACTCTTCATCATTCATCTTGCGAAAGCCATCCTTTGTTTTCTTCCATATCCGATTAACTTCGTACACATTCCCCATGTTTGCATGCAAACTCAGACGAGAAGAATATGCAGCTCGAGTTTTCCGCCCGGTCCTCTTCTCCATTTATCATTGCCGTGAGCTTGCAGCACAGCATGTGGGAGAGCCGTGGTTGCTTCGTGTGCTGGTTCGGTGATAGTGATGAATTTGAGATGCGCAGAAACTTCACAGGCAGCTGTAAGAGGGAGCAGGGATGATTCTCGTCACGAGACTTCGGAGTTGAATGCGTCGGTGTTAATGACGGTAGTTGCAATGCTTGCTTTAAGTTGTTGATAAACTACAGCTCTATACACTTGGAATCCATGTTTCCGCTGTCGAAGTTCGAAGTCGCAACCTGCATAACAAGCCACTCACAGACAATAACACAAGTTCTTAGAGAAACCACAAAACATGAAAACATAATTGAACTGAAAACACGAATGATATCACCATCTTGCCGCCGCTACGCCGTTCAGTTTTATTACCGTGCAATTTGAAGCTTGGTGATACTGAAACCTGCATACAAAACAATCCCACGCAACCACATAATTTTATAAACAAAAGAATGACTTAGGACCCATCATCAAATTAATACCAAGGCAAATAACAATTCAGAAACATAACCGAAAACCTCAAGCCGAGGCTACTGCCATAATTCAGGACCTGTCCTCTAAAGTATAGACATATCAAGAACAAGTCATGTGGATATGAGATGCCTACCAATGCCGCGAAACATCAATCAATCATTAACGAGCCGTTCCAAATAATCTAACCAGTACCATCCAAATCGAGCGGCACTTAGGGTGACTGTTATCCACCGTCATTGCGTCCAGGAATTTATTGTTGCCATTCAACAGGGTCGCGACCTGCACAGAAACTAACAACAGACAGCAACACAAAATACAATCCTTATATGATGGAATCGTCTACTCGAAGATGACACCAATGCTCATGGAAAAAACTGGGATATAACCCTGCATATGGAATCAAAACATGAGTCAACAGAAACAATCACTTCCAACAAGGGTCAGCCAGAAATCAAACAAGAAAAAAAATAACCCGCAATTTATTTAGAAGGCCACCAGCTTTGGAACTGCAACATCCACACGAAGCTAAAGGAAATTCATCAAAAAAAATTAACAGGACTATTAATACAATCAAAACAAATCAATATCTGACGTAATAACCACACTCCCTATAACAGTTTAAATACTCAAACAGAACTAGTCATGGAAGGTAACATATCAATTCCCTTTTTGCCCATTCGAAACCTGTATAATGTATACTAACAAACATCACACCGAACCAAAGCATCTCCTGCGAGTGTATCAATGGTTAAAAAAATATCAAATGGGATAACATGGTTTCCTAACCATCAACACCTATACTGATCACCAGAGAAATAACAACAAAAACAATCATGATGTACACTCAAGCCATGGGATATGAGATGAAGACAAGAAAATGATGAGCATGATTTGAAGTCAGAAGAACACCTCTACAAAAGTAATATGATCTAATTGACAGAAGAAGAAAAAACAGCAAAAAAAACATATGGCATAAACAATCCTTCAACTGAAATGGTTCGAAGATTACCGCCAAGTCACTTTTCCTCCAGATCTGAATATGGTGTCGTTGCGCCGCGGAGAGCTATTAGTGTGACGACCTTTGTTTGAATCAGAATGTTGCAAAATTGTCTTCCGTTTTAGCCGTTTGTCTTTGTTATTCCCGCTGTGATCGTTGTCAAATCCCATAAAAAAAACACAAGTCATGTAAGTCGAAGGCAGAGGAAATAGATATAAGCCAGAGACACAACTCTAACTGCTGCTTCGTCACCGTGTCGGAATAACCACGTGCTTCTTCGAGTTTGAGAGAGGCGAAGCAGATTTTCTTATTCACACGGTGGTTCGATGAAAGTTGGAGAAATTTGTGAGATTTATGGTTGGGGGAGAGGTTTTCGAAGGAGTTTCATCCGATAGGGATGATGATTTGAGGAAGGGCGCGGTGAGGACGGAGTTGTTTTAATGGCGGATGGAGAAGAAGGAGAAGGTGATGGTGAGGGTGAAATCGTGAGGTAATGGCTGAGGTTTGTGAGTTGAAGAAGATTATTAGGGCTTCGGCTGAAATTGAGGAATGTGCCGATTAGGGTTAGGATGAACAGTAGATTTTCTTTCCTCTCCACCAGTCTTCTTCTTCTATTAATATCAGCCTCCACACTAAACCTAACGGGCCCTAATTGGGCCTCCTTCCCAATTTTCTCCTTTCTTCCTTTTTATTATTATAAAAAACACTAATAAGTATAATATTTAACTTACCTTAAATAAAAAACTATTTAAACGCATAAGTACTAAATAATATATAAAAAAACAAAGATAATGACAAATATATAAAAATAATATTTTTTTTTTAAAAAAAGGAACTATATATGTGCATATTAAGAAGAAAAAATATTTTTAAAAAATTAAAGAAAGAATAAGAATTTATAAAAAGATACTCTTCTAGGCCACATGTCACGCCTTAATTGGTCGAAAAGATAAAATTTAAAAAAACGCCCAATTTCAGATGGACACGTGTCTAAATGGCACGAAACAAAAAGCGAAAATATTTGCAAAAGGGTAGGACAAATTTAGGGTATGACAGTAGTGGAAGACAGAGGTCGGATGAACAGGGTGATGAAGTTTCAGAAGTTTTAGTGAGGTTTAATGGCAGACTCATTGGAATTTCTGGGTTGAAGGAATAGGTTGAAGGAGTGAGTTGAAGAGATGAAGGTGATGAAGAAACTGGTTTGAAGGTGATTCTGAAGGTGATGGTGGGTAGGGCGGCCGGATTCTGGGTTGGTGATTGGGGAAGATGGATAAGAATGGTTGTAGAGATGATGAACAGATGGTGGATTACTGTAGCGGCTAGGGTTTTGGTCTCTATGTTGGAGACAATCTACAGTGCCTTTATACCCTCAAAAGATGACACATGGCATACAGATTAAGACTAATGATGATTAATTAAATGAAAATTGTTGATTAACGACGGTCAATGCTAAATGAAAAAACCAGTTGACTTAATTAATTTTGTACCAAAATCCTAATATAATATTAACCTAACTAATTAAATAGAAATCATCAATAATGAAAATGACTAATTCTAACTAAACTCTATTTCTAATAAAATAAATCTATCAAAGAAAAATCTAATAACCATTTTCTAAAACCAATTAAAATTCTATTTAAAAAAGTATGTTCTAAAAACAATATTAAAAACCTATTCAAAGTATTTTCTAAATAAATAAAAATAAAACTAAAAAAGCCATAAAATGCAAAATGCCATGGAAAAACAGGCGAGCACCAAAATGCGCCGATATTATTGACACAGATTGAATCATGAAAAAGAGAGCGACTTTCGCTCGATTTCGACACTGAACTTATCATTTGAATTGATTTGAATCGCCTGAAACACGAGCAAAGCGGCTAAAATCCTAATAAATTCAATCTGGCTGATATCACAGGAAAAATGCGACCTAAAAGATATGCAGATGAAAACGAAGCAAAAGCCAGTCAAAGCTAGAAAACTGGTGGGCAAATTTTAGGGTGCAACAGCTGCCCCTATTCAATTAACTTGGACCTGAAGGGATGAAAAGCAACCGCTTTCAGACATTCATGGTAGAAGGTGATTGAATACAAAAGAATCCTGAAATTTGCAGTCTGTATAGGATGTAAATTATAGAATATGTCAATCAGGCTCTCCTGAGAAATGTATCTGAAAGTTGCAGGAAAATGAGCTAACTCATCACTAATACAGAAAGCATTGACACACAGTCGGAAGAGACGTCTGCTAATCCAAGCAGGCACTCGCTAAATAAAAGCGAGCATCGAACCCGAAGGCCAGCTCAACACGAAGTTGAGAAGAACATCTGAACTCGCCGTCAGGCATCTGTTAAATAAATACAGGTGTCGAACCCGAAGGCCAGCTCAACCCGAAGTTGAGAAGATCTTATCCAAAAACCGCATCGTCTAAGGATAGACGGAGAGAAAACCATATCCAAATCTTGCATCATCTAAGGATAGATAGAGAGAAAACCATATCCAAATCTCGCATCATCTAAGGATAGACGGAGAGAAAACCATAATCCAAATCTCGCATCGTCTAAGGATAGACGGAGAGAAAAACATATCCAAATCTCGCATCTTCTAAGGATAGACGGAGAGAAAACCATAACCCAAATCTCGCATTGTCTAAGGATAGACGGAGACAAAAACATATCCACATCTCGCATCGTCTAAGGATAGACAGAGAGAAAAACATATCCAAAACTCGCATCGTCTAAGGATAAACGGAGAGAAAACCATAATCCAAATCTCGCATCGTCTAAGGATATATGGAGAGAAAAACATATCCACATCTCGCATCATCTAAGGATAGACGGAGAGAAAAAAACTGCTGGGGATGTCATCATTAGAGGGCTGATGGACAAAAAATCTGCTTGGAGATGTCAACTTCAGAGGGCTGACGGACAAAAAATCTGCTTGGAGATGTCAACATCAGAGGGATGACGGACAAAAAATCTGCTTGGAGATGTCAACATATGAGGGCTGACGGATAAAAAATCTGCTTTGAGATGTCAACATCAGAGGGCTGACGGACAAAAAATCTGCTTGGAGATGTCAACATCAGAGGGATGACGGACAAAGCATGACTAACGTATGATCTGGAACCCAAAAGGAAGTAAGCAGATGAGCTGACTGAACCAGGCCGTTTATATATCACTGTCTTGATTGAAGAGTTGATTCAGGTTGCCACGGAAGTCAAACGAAAACTGGCTTATGCTTCGAATGGATATGTTTGAATTTTTTTTATGGTGTAATGCTCCATACGAAATGGAAATGCTACGCGTTTGAGGATGAAATGTAAATATGATAACTATATGCAGATGCAGATGCAGGCCTGGGTTGCTGGGGAAAGATGGATGCAAATGAACCACTTCGGCAAAATAAATGCTGAAGAGACAAAGTCAACTTCGCTGGGGATAG